TAATTTTAATTCACAAGTAAACTTAAAATTAATTCTTTATAAACTAAGCTAATTTGTTTGTCTTAGTTACATTTTAAATAATACTATTTCTTGAAATTTGAAACTAGTCAGTTTTCTCTTGAATTTGTGGGGCTGATAACCTGCCCTTTGGACTATGGTAATTTGTGCTCAACCCATACCGGGGTCTCCAGCTCCCAGCAACATTCCCTGGCTTATCTTTTCCTTCTTGAGCCATCTTTCCAACTTTTCTCAAACTTCCATAGTCGCAAAGCATAGAAACTCTCTGCATGGCAGGAGACTGCTATGCAGATGTGAAATCTCACTGACTCTGGTGGTAATATCCCCGGGGAGCCGCTTCTCTGTCTGTGTTGTGTCCAGACGGCTGTCTTCGAGAAACTGAACTGGTACCCTCCCACCCCAAGTCGCACCATGAGAGGATGGGCTGGTTCTGAACAGTCAAGGGCACAGGAGGAAAAGTGGGGAGTAGCTGCACCATGGCTGCAGTGCTCAGCAAAGAAATCCTGAGATAGACCAAGTTCTCCCAGAGTATCGCCAGGATGCAGGGGATATTCCCATCCAAGCAGGCAGTGGAGACTCTATTCTTGGTATTTATCCTCAACATCCATCCCTTGCTCCACATGTTATCCTACTCTGATGTCCCATGAGAGTTTTGGAAGCACAGCTTTCCTGTCCACACCTTCAGGTGTACTGGCACGCCAGTGCCCACATACTATTGGAGGCCATGGAACTTTACTATGGAGGTCATCTGAGCTACGGCCCACCCATTGAGAATGGCTTTTATTACGACATGTTCATTGAAGACAGGTAAGGCTGCCCAAAGTGCTGGGTTCTGCTTGCATGTGTACATGCCATTGTTTTATGGTTACATGTTATAGCTCAGTCACAGTATATTGTGTAATTATCAAACAAAATTATTTTTCTAAATGAGCCTAGATTGGAGAGCAACTTTCAACATACCTACTAGAGCATGACACCAATTCAAACCCAAAACATGTGCTCCATGCCAGAGAGCAGTTGTCTGCTTCTGCTAACAATGGTCGAGGCACTGTCAACGTTGCCGAACATCGTGCACACTTGAGTGCCAGGTGGTGGTGGCTCACAGGGTCTCACAGTCAGTAGGTCTGTGTGTAGAACACAGCATGATGGCCCTGCCTCTCTCGCCCACCACTGCTCTGTATCCCTCACGGTTCCTAGGGACACCACCTAGAACAAACCAAAACCTTATGTCCTTCTAATTCGTCCGTTTCTAATACCTCCATCTATCCCAGCCCAAGTTCAAACTCCCCTATGCTCCTCACTACTCCATCTAGCAGCCCTGTCTAGTTTTCCATTTTTATCTCCTAAACATTTCTGTCAGTTTCTTTCCCTCACGCAGACTCACAGCATCTCCTACTTGGGCAAATGAAGAACATCTTGCCTTTGCCTGTCACTCTCATTCTGTGTAATGACGTCTCTCACAGCATATCTGGCATTATGTAGTGGGGGCTTTTGTTTTTAGTTTTTGTTTGTTTATTTGTTTTTGAGATACAGTCTCACTATATAACCCTGACTGGCCTGAAACTTACTATGTAGACCAGGCTTGCTTCCACATGCTGGGATTAAAGGCATGTGTCATCACACCCAAGCCGGCTTAGCAATGTTTCTCATAGTCATTTCCAGTCTGAACTGTTTTTACCTGTAAGTTTAGAGGGTACTCCAGCCTATGGGTTGCATCAAACTGTGGGATGCAATCCCTTTGGGGGTCACATATCAGATATTTACAATACAATTCATAACAATAGCAAAATTACAGTTATGAAGTATCACTGAAATAATTTTATGGTTGGGGGTCACCACAATGAGGAACTTTATTAAAGGGTGGAACCATTAGGAAGGCTTTAGAGTATGTTTATTTATAATGCTTGAACCCTAAATATATGAGGTTTTTGTTTATCTTGGCTGTTTTGTTTGGTTTCCCCACATAACAACTGATTCTCAGCTCTCTGGATAAATTAACCAGGGCTAACCCAGACCTTCAGCTCAAGTCTCAGTCCTGTGGCAAGGGTGCCACATTGCTGATGCCAGTCACAAGTGGAAGCTTTCTGTATGTCCGACCCACAACCCACTACTTGGGTTCAGGAGTTGGTAGACTAGGCTGATAGAAAACTATTGATTTATTATGGCCATTCCAACCGGTACAAATGAGCTGCCAGGAAGAATATGGTGCTCGCCCATGTCTCTTGGGCTGTACTACCTGCTTTTGGCAGCTTTTGGAGCCTTGTTGTTCAGTGATTTTTCATGGATGTTTTTGTAACATACACATATTCAGTGAAATCACTCGGCCATTGATGATAGACTTTTTCTCCATCCCTTCTTGCTTTCTAGAGGGGGGCTTGGGGCTAACGCCCCACCTCTAGTAATCCCTTGGTCTCTGGAGGTCTCCTTCATGCTATTAGTACAGTGAAGGCTTGGTTGCTGATCAAGACACTCTTATCGAAGCAGTATATATAGTGCCCTCTCTTGTTATCATACCCCAGTTTCATGCAGGCAAATAAGAGTTTTCTGGATGTTTACCTGACAGTGACTCTCAACCTTCCTAATGCTGCTCACACATACCTTCCTCTGAGGCTAGCTCCTACCAGCCACACTGAGGTAAGGATATGGGGGAGCCCATCATACAGCTCTCCTGAACAAAAGTATGTGCCACTAAAGCACTAACACAGTTGAGCAGGTGTGCCGATTAGCAGTGACGGGTAACAGGACCAAGGTAGAGGAGGTGGATGGCATCTGGAAGATCATACCAAGCTCAGGTCTCTTCTTCTTTGGTATTTAAGAGTGGTGTCCAGCAGTGAGTTGTCTGCCCTGGAGAACATATGTAAAACTATCATCAAAGAGAAGCAACCCTTTGAAAGAATGGAACAGAAAGAGACTCACTCCTGGAAATGTTTAAGGTACTGGGGAGAACAGCATAAAATTCTCTCACTAAGAAGGAATAGTAAAAGCTATTAACATAGACTAGCCTTTTCTTCCCTGTTGATTTTCTGTTGGCTTAGAGGCTGCACCTGAATCTATTGACATTTTAACACTGTCTATGCCCTATAGTCACCCTGCTCCAGACTATAGCCTGGCTGGATTTCAGATCCTACTGGCTACCATTTTGCAACTAGTCTCTATTATTCTGTTTACCAATAAAGACTTGGAGCTGTTTGTTGGGGGTGAAAACCTGATAGATCGAGAAACTAAGAAGCAACAGCTGATCTTTTTGGCCAGAGACCCAGCAAGAGAAGCATCTCTTCACTCATCCTAAAATCTCTAAGTCCCTCCCTCCCTACTCCTTCCTGTGTCTCTCTATCCATATTCCTGACTCCTCCATCCTCTCCATGGCTAATTCTTATCAACTGTTCTTTGGATCCACCCCGGATAATTTTATTAACACAGTATCAGAGTTTCCACGGTTGATCAAATATCTCAAAACACTTGACCAGTTGCTGGTTGTACAGTCTGAAGAGCTGTTGTGAGGGTATCAGTAGTCACATGTACTGGCCCGCAGAGCTGTTGTGAGAGTGTCAGTGGTCCATGTACAGTCTGCAGAGCTGTTATGAGGGTGTCTGCAGTCACACGTGCAGCCTGCAGAGCTGTTGAAGTATGTCAATGTTCACTTGCTCTGCCATTTCCTCTTGTTTCCTGGAGACATTTCAGGCAGGTAAAGACCAGGTGAGAATTTTCATGTATGTTTATAGGTCTGATCATAGTGGAGTATGCCTACTATTGCAATGCTGGGAATTACTGATCTTCTTGGAGAATGAAGTGTTGCTTAATTCTAAAGCAGAAAGTATGGCTAATTAACACATGAACTAAAAATGTGACCACTGCTCTCAAAATATATATTTATAATCCTCAAAATATATCACAAAATCCTCTTTTACCTTCTTCACTCCCTCCCTTTGAATTGTTTGTTTATGTGTGTACATGTTGCCTGTGTGTATGTCTGTGTACCATGTGCATGCTTATGGCTGTGGCAGCCAGAAGAGGGATTTGGATCCCCTGGAACTGGAGTTACAGACAGCTTGTTAGTCTCCATGTGAGCACTGGGAATCAGACCTGGGCCTTCTGCAAGAGCAGAATGCTAGCTAATATTCCAGAAGCCCCTCTCTGAGCTCTTAATTAACCTTCTTGTTTGTTTTAAATATTTAACGTGGAGTGGCTTGCATAAGACTTTATGGGTGCCTTTTTTATTTTTTTTTTTTTAACCAATGTACTTTAATAAATTAGATTTTTTTTTCTTTTAAATAATACAATATCAAAGAAAATGCATACTTTGAAAATACAGCAATGTCAGTTTAGGGGACTGAATTTAAGAGCTAGGTGGTTTGGGTTAAAGATACAATTATTACTTTTTGTATGGTAAAATATGTGAAAGTAACAGTATTAGGGTTTCTATTGCTGCGAAGAGACACCATGACCATGGCAACTCTTACAAAGGAAAAAATTTAATTGGGGTGGCTTATAGTTTCAGTTGTTTAGTCCATTATCATCATAGTGTGTGACATGATGTCATGCAGTGTCATCTGCAGTCAACAGAAAGTGGTCTAAACTATGTGTAGTTTAGCATGGGAGGCCTTATGGCCAGCCCTCACAGTGACACACCTCCTAATAATGCCACTCCCTATGAGCTTATAGGAGCCACTTACATTCACATTACCACAGTAACATTACAATTTTAACTATTTTTGAATACACAGTTCTGTGTCATTAAGTATATATGAAAACATCAGCTCTATCAACTCACAGGATGATTTCCGTCTTCCAGAGTGACAACTCTACCATTGAGGGCCAACTCTCCTTTTCCTCCACAGCCCACCCTGGCATGCAGCCCTCTGCTTACTATTCTGTGAATTTGATAAGAACCTCAGTTCAATGAATCACTTGCTATTTACTTTTGTGACTGGCTTGTTTCACTCACTGTAAGGCCCTCAGGAGTCACTAGTATTGCAGAGTGTGTCAGAATTTTCTTCTTTTTTTCTTAAGGCTAAATAATAACCTCTTCCGTGTGTGTGTGTGTGTGTGTGTGTGTGTGTGTCTTTGTGTTTGTCATTTCATCTGCCCATAGATACTGGAATTGTTTATATTCTAACAATTGTGTACACACTGATATGAATGTGAACATAAAGATTTGTTTGAAATGCTGATTATGTATAATATTTATATAATATACATATCAGAAATGGAATTGCTGCATCATGGGGTACTTCAGTTTTAATTTTTCAGGACCTTCCACAGCATTTTCCAGGGCAGTCTCACCATTTATAGTCTACCCAGTTTTTCCACATTCTCTCCCATACTAGTTTTCTGGCTTTTGTTTTTAAGGCACCCATTCATTGGGTGGCTGAAGTAGTGTCTCATTGCACTTTCCTTAGGACATAATGAAGCCGAGTTTATAGTGCACATACTGTGTACCTTCCTTGGAGTCTGCTAAGGCCTGTTAGCTGTCTTTGAATGAGAGTGGACTTAGTTGTGGTTTGGTTTGCTTTATAACAACTTACATGTTCCTGGTGTCAGTCTGTAACCATCAGTCTATTACAGATGTTACTTCCGTTCTGCTAGCTGCCTTGACTTTTCAGCTGCTCCTAAAACTAACCATACCAGCTTTTGTGAAGGAGAATGCCTTGACTTGAACATACTGGGATGAAACAGTTACATTGTACAAATGTGTTTTTTTTTTTCTCCCGATAGCTGTTTTTAGTTATTTAATATGAATTAATACTTGATACTGCAATTATTACAATGAAAGCAGAGAAAATTACCCTAGTTTGCTAACTGTAATGATACCATGGCTTTTTAGCAAATGAAGTGATGTGGTATAAACTTTGTAATAATGGAAATGTGCCTTAAGAATTGGATTTTACTTATGTAGTTAAAATGGGATCTTCTAGAAGAATGCTGTCCAATAGAATCTGTGCCAAGTGTATAACCTTGAATCACATGACAGCTACACTTTAAGAGTAAAACAAAGATGGAATTAATTTTAAACACATAGTTGATATAAAAAATCTGTGGTTCTGTGTGTTTATACTCATGGCATGGTCATATGTGAGAGCTTACCAATCATGTGACTCTAGGGTCTCGTACTGGACTGTGTGCCTCTTTGCTGTGAGCACAGCATGTCCATAGTGTCCAACACCTCAAACAGAGTAGAGTGTCTCTCAGAGCTTCTTAAAAAGAATAGTTTCCAAGGCATTGGTGGTGCACACCTTTAGCCCAAGCACTCAGGAGACAGAGGCAAGTGGATCTCTGTGAGTTCCAGTCCAGCCTGGTCTAAAGAGCTAGTTCCAGGACAGGCTCTAAAGCAATACAGAGAAACCCTGTCTGCAAAAACCACAAGAAAAAAAAAAAAAAAAAAAAAAAAAAAAAAAAGAATAGTTTCCCCATTAGAAAAATTTTGTAATAATATGTGGACGTTTTCTTTGTAGTACAATAAATTTAAATGCCGGATTCTGAAGGAGAAAGTCAACACTCCAACAACCACTGTCTACAGGTTTGTGTGTACCAGTTTTAAGAGGCTCAGTGGGGTCTTGGAGCTTAGCAGGAACTGCCCTGAACCCTGGTTGGGAACAGAGTGTGACTTTCTGGCTTTATCACAGTGATGGGACAGTTTACAAGGATGTCTCTACATACATAGTGTCTTCAGAAGTTCGTGTGAGGTGTTTGGATTTGCACAGAGAGAGCGATTTGAGGCTTGATGGGTCCCCCTCCTCTCACTGACCCTGAGTTAAAGTGTGCCCCACACATGTAAAGAGTAAGTCTTTCCTAAAACCTGTGTCCTGGCTGCCTTCCTGTGCTGTAATAAAACAGGCCGAGCAAAAGCAGGTGAGTGGAGGAGGTGCTTTACTTGGCTTATCCCTGGTTCAGTGGGTCCCTGAAGAATGTCAAGGCAAGAACCCAAGCAGGCACTTGAAACAGAAACCACGAAGAAGGAAGGCAGAGACAGGCAGAGCTCCATCTTCAAGGCCCATCTGATCTACATAGAGTTCCAGGACACCCAGGACTACATAAAGAGACCTTGTTTCAAAAAAACAAACTAACCAACAAAAATGAAAACAAAGGGAGAGGGAAGAAAGGAAAGAAAGGAGAGAGAGAGGGAGGGGAAGAAAGAAAGGAGGGAGAGAGATGGGGGAAGGGGAGGGAGAGAATGAGCAAGGGAGAGACTGAGAGACCCTGCTTCCTGACTTGTTCTTTGCTAGCTTCTTACATGGCTGGTGACCACCTGCCCAGGAAGGTGCTTTCCATGCTGGGCTGGGCCCTGCTGTGTCAATTAAGACAATCAAGACAAGTCCACAGACCAACCTGATAAAAACAATTAGTCAATTGAGACACTGCTTCAGGTGATTCTAGGCTGTGTCAAATTGACAGTTAATGCTAACTGGGACAATATGATAATGTGGTCTATAATGAACAGTCCAAAAAATCTTTAACATTCTGGGTATGTCTTAAATCTCTCATTATAGGTGTGGTCCATTAATTGACCTTTGTAAAGGCCCCCATGTAAGACACACTGGAAAAATTAAAGCCATAAAAATTTTCAAGGTAAGGATTTTTTAAAATTTGTAAATATAACAAACAAGGTAAACTACATAAGGGATTTCACTATGTCTGCTTTAGTCTGAACATGATAGTATTTTAAATTCTTCATTCTTATTTCACTAAAGGAAATGTTTTATAATCTTGATAATTAAAACACTATGTAGCTTTTGATTATTTAATCTTATTCTAAATGTTATAATGCATATCTTTTTATATGGCTGTTTCTTAAAGATTTATCTTTGTTGTGAGTCTGTGTGTGTGTGTGTGTGTGTGTGTGTGTGTGTGTGTGTGTGTGTCTGTGTCCCTGCAGAGACCAGAATTGTCAGATCGCTGAAGTTACTGCCTGATGTCAGGAACTGAACTCAGATCTTCTGTAAGAGCAGCAAATGCTCTTACCTACTGAGCCATCCCTCTAATCCTCTATATAGTTTTTAAATATACTGTTCCTTATTTAGATGTCCTTGTGTTCACAGGTTTCACATTCATGGATTTAATCAACTGACAGATGGAAATATTTGAAAAACAAATTGTGCCTATGTTGAGCATGTATAGACGACTATGCACATGGGGGTTGGGGATGGTGGGGGTGGGGGGTGGTAGTGATGCCATCATTTCCTAAACAGCACATCAAAATGGATGTATACATAGTATTTATTTTGCATTTGGTACTTTAGAGGTGGCTTAAAGTATACAGCACTTTGCACAGGTTATGTGCAAATGCATCATTTATTTAAGATACTCGTTTGCAGATTGAGGTGTCTGTAGAGGAGGTAGAACTAACCTCTGCAGACACCAAGGACAACTGTGCAGTAGAGTTTCTAGATTGCCCAATGAAGAGAAAATAAGAGCATCTTTCTGCATGTGAGAATAATGCACCACAGGCAGAAAAGAAAGGCAGAAGGGGTGGAACCCTGCCCTAGCAATCATAAGCAGCAGAGCTGACTTTGAGGTCCCAGCCTTTCTGGACCTTGGTTTTCTTTCTGGACCTGGGTCTTAATTATCCACCACCCACTGATGCTTTTCACTTCAAGCCATAGACCAGAGCGGCTGACACTTCATGAACCTCTGGCCTTTTCTGGTTCCAGCTTGGTGATCACAGCTGCTCCCCTAGTCGTTCCTCCTTCCTGTTCTCTGTCACTTTCATTCCTAGAAGCCACAGGGGACTTTATGAAATTTGATGATTAGTGCTATAATTTGGATGTAAAATTTTTTTTTATTAGACTCAATTTAAGACTCTTCTGAGCACTACAAAATCTGTATCTGAGGATTGTGTATGCCATAATAGAAAACTGCATTCACATTGTAGAGTGGTGTTACTGTCAAATGTTTGATTAAAAAACAAAACAAACAAACAACAACAAAAATAAAACACAGTATCTTGCTGATGTTTAGAATTCCTCAACATATTGGGGAAGGCAATCCTGAGATGGAAACATTGCAGAGGATCTATGGAATATCCTTTCCTGATAGCAAAATGATGAAGGGCTGGGAGAAGTTCCAAGAGGAAGCCAAGAGCCGGGACCACAGGAAAATCGGGAAGGTATACCCACACCATCGTCACCCAGACACGCCTTTGTTGCCCATGACTGTCCCTCACAAACCAAAATCTTAAGAGTAATATTTCTTCTTCTCTCTTTTATGGTCTGTTCTGTTGATATTTGTTGCCTGCAGCTGAGTTCTACCATATCCACACTCCAAAAGTCTGCTAACCAGTTCCCATTCTTGTAAGGAGTCAGGGTTTTTTCCGCCCACCGCCTGGTCTTGTCCCACCGCCGCGCCAACCCCAATTAACACACTGAGACTCTGTATTAGATATAATTCTGTTGGTCCGTTACTTGTTTCGGATAGCTATGTCTTAAGTATTAACCCATTTCGTTAATCTAATATTTCCACATGGTCTTCTTACCAGGGAAAGGGGCCAGTGTCTCGTCTCCCCAGTCTCTCCATCTTGACTCCTCCCTTCCTACTTCCTCTTTCCTCCTTGTCTCCTAGTCCCACCTATCTTGCTTTTCTATTGGCCAACAGTGCTTTATTCATTAACCAGTATGAGAAACATATATACATAATGGCATTTCCCATCACGTCCTCTTATCTTTTGTTAGCATTTTAAAAGCTCTTGTGAGAGTTTATTTTTTCATGATATAAAAATAAAGTAGGGATTTTCATCTCCATCCTTCAAGGATTGAGCTATGTCATGTGATGGGCAAATATTCATTTATGAAGCTATCCACATTTGTTGTGAGGAGTAGTTGACAGTGGGGGCTGCTAGGAGACACTCCATGCACAGGCGCAGACTCTCAGGGGTTGGCACCATAGGAAGGGTCACATCACTTGAAACCCACCTTCTGCAATGGACCTTTTATCTTATGTTATCCCTACATGAGACCTATGTATAAATGTTGGATGAAAACTCAGTCAATTAGCTACTGATTTATACTAAAAAAAAAATGAGTAGTAAATAAAAAAAGATAACAGAAAAGCAAATTGAAGCTAAGTAAATATAAGTGATCATTTTACATGTGCTGTTTTATATACATTATATATCTGGATAGATACTGAGGAACTTTGGGATGCCTAGTAATAGATGATGGGAGGGTAAAATGACATTTTATGACTGTCACATCAGGTATGGTAAACATTAAGAAGAGATGAAATTTGAAATGCAATTATTGTTTCAATCTAGGAACAAGAACTTTTCTTCTTCCATGACCTGAGCCCTGGAAGCTGCTTCTTTCTCCCAAGAGGGGCCTTCATTTATAATACACTTACAGATTTCATCACGAGTAAGTTAGTTTTGGGAAATATTCTTATTTATCTGCATTCTATATGTTATTATCTTCTCTCATAATTAAGTGTTTCCATTAAATTTTAGTACTATAAGAATTTGTATTACTATCATATATTACTATAAAATGTCAGATTCTGACATGGAGATGGGTTACTTTCTAGAATTTCATAAAATACAGGCGTTGCCCTAGGTCTGTAAGGGTGTGGAACATTAGCGGTCTACTGAGTGTACATCTCCTGTGGCCGAGAATGCTCTGAGGGGGCACTGCTTCTCAAAGGTGGCTAATGGGCTCTCAATGCATCTGCTCACTACAGTGTGACCACCAGGTGACCAGACATCTCCAGGAGGAGATGAAGTTGTATTGACACCCTGAGGTTGAGCATGCTCTGTGTTGCAGGCTTAGGACTTCGAAGATACTGTTCAGAGATGGGCCATTTGGACTGCTGAAGTAATTTTCCAGCCTTCCCCCCTGTTTAGTCTTTTGTGTAACAATTATAGCCTTGTACTGCGGCTTGCTCTTGACATATCTGTGGTGATCCCTTAAGAGTGTTTTGTTTAGAATATAGTGGGCCTTATGGTTGGTTCCTGTTGTTACCTTAGTTTGTGTGAAGGGATTCAGATGTTTCCACAGTCGAACTGTCCTTCAGTGCATTTCTCAGAACATACTGAGCAGTGAGCAGTGAGTGAGGCATGCTCTTCCTAGTTTTACTACCTGATTTCTGTGATTACTGATCACTCTCGGACACCCCCCCCCAAAGACTGCCGTGCTGCCTACAGTTCATTTGCAGAGGCTGCAGTTGACTCAGTAAATTTGTCTTCAGATCTGTTATGAAGACAATACTCCAGTCTTACCTTCATGCTCCATTCTGTGACCTCATGTCCACCTTAGCACCTCCTTCTGTTCTTCTCCATGCTGGCTGCTGTCTTCATGTCTGGGATTCTGAACTCCTGTTCTGAGCATGTCTTCCACCTGCTTGTTTCTCATTAACTCTCATCCAAGGGATCACTTTCTTCAGGGCCTTTCTGGGGAAAGGTGCATTCATCACATGTGCTGGGCCTCTTCCTTCTCTTCCTTCCCTTCTGGCACTGTGCCTATGGAGACTGAGGTTGACTCTCTGGGGTAGCACTTAGCCTGTGTTCCTTCCAATAAGGACAGTCACTATAAGGCAGTAGATCAGGGGCAAGGGAGTGAGGCCTGAAGGGTTGTTGAGGCGTCTGGAGATTTTGGTGGGTGGCAATGACTACCCACTGCTCCTGTCTTGTGTTCTTTGCTTAGATGTCAGCACAGCCCTGGTACCTGAAGCTCTGGGTTGAGGTGTGGACCATGGAGAATAAACACAAAGCCTTTATAGTGGTCTTAAAGGGCTCTCTTATCTTTTATAGATGCAAGACAGACATGGCTGATGATCAGGCCCAAGTCTGATTGTGTGGGTTGCTGCATTGGAAAGCATTTAAATACACAACCCCAGGGGTCTCTAATGTCAAGGTAAGGGCTGAGCCCCTTAAATTCTGAATACCCTTGTGTGAAGTAATTGGTCTCAGCATGTATAAAAGAACTTCCAATGAACTCAGCTAATTTTTATGTTGTTTTTTTTTTTAACCTTGTTTTTTTTTTTTTTTAAATGGGGATTCATATAGTTCAGGCTAGCCTTGAACTTGCTATATATCCAAGGATGGCTGAATTCCTGGATTTTTCCTGCCCCCCTGCCCAAGTGTTGAGGTTACAGGAAGTGCCACTATACCTAGCAACTTCAGATAGTTGTAGCCCTAATTTTCAGTCGGGGGATTTTGATTCTTTCCTCTTCAATAATTTTTCAATTATGTGTCTTATATAATATATAGAATAACTAGAGAATGATGCTGTCTTCCAGTGGGATTTTTCACCCTTTTCCAAGATGGAAAACCACAACTCAATGTCCTGGTTAATTTTGTTCATTTGTTTGTTTGTTTTGACACAAGCTGGATGGAACCTTAATAGAGAAAATGCATCCATCAGATTGGCCTGTAGGCAAGTCTGTGGTTATTTTCTTGATTGATGATTGATGTAGGAAGAAGGTCCAGTCTCTGTGGGTGATACCATTCCTAGGCAGGTGGTCCTGGGTTGTATAAGAAAGGTAGCTGAGCAAGCTATGGGGAGCAAACATGCAACACCCCTTCATAGCCTCTGCATCAGTTTATGCCTCCAAGTTCCTGCCTTTAGTTCCTGCCCTGACTTCCCTAGGTGATGGAATATGACCTGAGAGTTTTAAGCTGAAATAAAGCCTTTCCTCCCCCGAGCTGCTTTTGGCATGAGACCCATGTGGTTTACTTTCATTCTGTTGGAAGGACATGGTTCAATGTGTCTCTATTTGACATGCTAACAGGCTCCAAATGTCAGCTCTGCCCCCTCTCCTGTGTTCTGCTACTGAGGAACAAACTATTCCAGTCTCATCTGGTTGATACACCACTGAATGTCCAATAAGATCTGGTTTGAGTACAGATGAGGTTCTTTAGTAGCAAGTACCTCCCTCTCTATCTTTAGACCTTTGAATGGGAGATATAAGGCACCCCTTAGCTACCTCCCTCCATCCTCACATTATATAAAGATGCTGGAGGGAAAGGATACAGTAGACAGTTCACTTCAGAGATGGCTGGATGGCTGGGGAGGGGAGGATGGTAACAAGGCTGTAGAAATTCTAATGTCTACCAGTTGTCCCTGGGCCCACCTGGTCTTCCCTGTGCTGACATCTGTCAACACAGATTAGCTTTGTCTGGTCTTAAACTTCATGCAAGTGGGATCACACAGTACTTGTTTTATCTTGATGCTTCTTTTGTTCAACTTTGTTTCTGAGAGTCAACCAAGAGGTGGTAGTATGATAGGGGTTGGCAGCGTTATTCAGGTATCCCATTTTGTGGGTGCAATACATGATATTCCACTATCCTGTAGGTATTTAGTTCCCCTCCAGTTTAGAGCTACTATACCCAGTCTACTGTGAACATTATTTTCTTCCAGTGCATACAACTGCTCACTTCTGGTAATTGAAATCACAGGACAGTTGTTTGGACCAAGCTTCTATGCTGGACTAACAAGGCAAAATGGAGTCAACCATGCTAAGGTTTATCACCAAGCAAAGGGCCTGCTGCTTACCTCACCTTCAGAGAGACCTGGGTCAGAGAGGGACTAGCCATACTCCTTCAACAGGCCGTTTTCTGTTGGCATGAGAGTGACATTTCCCTCTGTGTTCATCTCTTAAATGAAGTAATGTAGAATATCCAAAGCTACCACATCAGCTTTTTCTTGTTTTCTGTCTCCTGTTCCCTTCTGACAAGGAAAATAACTTTGAGATGAGTGGTTCACTTTTGGCTTTTATTTCCTTCTTAAGTCTTCCTCTGTCCTTGAAACCAGATGCCTTTCTTGAGTTTTCAGAGCATTTGCCCTTCTTTAAGGAATGAAATGTAGCTCAGTTCTAGAGCAGAGAGTAGAGCCATTTAAGATACTAAATTGTAATTTTGTCCTTTAGTGTTCTCTTTAAAAGGATTGCTAGGTCATGGGGTATTTTTATTTTATTGTAGACTGATTTTGAGTCACAGTCTTATTATATCCACATTAGCCTCCTCTTGCAATCCTCTTGCCCCGCCTCCCATTTCTAGATATTAAAGATGCATACCACCACATCCAAGCAAAACTTGCTTTTCTTCCATATTTTCCTCTTTTATGTGCTGGGGTGGATAGTAGAGATTGAATACAGTACTCAATTTTATTTTGAGACAAGGTCCATTTAGGTTGACTCTTGGATTTGTAATGAAAAAATCTCCATGTTCATGTATTGATAGAGTTAATATTGTGAACATGACTGTCTTACCAAAATGAATCTGTACATTCAGTCCAATCCCAGTCAAAACCTCATTCTTCACAGAAATAGAAAAAAATTAATTCACATGGATACACAAAATATACCAGATAGCCAGATCAGTCCTGAGCAAAAAGAATAATGATGCTAAGGTACTTCCATACCTGATTTCAATTTATACTACAAAGCCACAGTAATGATAATAAGAAAAGCATTGGTCACTAAGTATGATGGCACTTGCCTTTAATCTCAGCACTTGGGAAGCAGAGGCAGGTAGATCCCTGTGAATTCCATGTCATCCTGGTCTACATTGAGACCCTGTCTCAGACAAACAAAACAGAATACCTAGCATGGTACTGTCATAAACATAGATACAAAGATCACAGAAAAAAAAAAGTCCATGTGAAGATGCCATCAAGATTCTGTAGGAGACCAGATGGAGGGGCATGCTGCTGGTTTGTGGGCAAGGCTGGTGTGGTGGCTAGTTTTATGTCAACTTGACATTCAGGCTGTCTTCTGAGAGGAGGGGGACCTCCTAAATTAAGAAAATGCTTCCATAAGAAGGGGCTGTAGGCAAGCCTGTAAGGCATTTTCTTAATGCTTGATGGGGGAGGAGAACCCCATTGTGGGTGGTGCCATCCCTGAGCATGTGGACCTGAGTTCTATAAGAAAGCAGGTTGAGCAAGTCATGGGAAGTGAGCCATCTTGAACAAACCAGTGGGCAGCACCCCTCCATGGACTCTGCATCAGCTCCTGCCTCCAGGATCCTGTGCTGTTTGAGTTCCTGTTCTGACTTCCTTCAATGATGGACTATGATATGGAAGAGTAACCAAATAAACCTTTTCCCTCCCAAGTACTGTTGGTGCTGTTGTCACAGCAATAAAAACTCCAACTTAGACAGCTGGGTCATGGGCACTGCTAGGTCCAGAAGCTTGCTCTTTCTCATGATTGCCTTTCTTTGCTCTTGAAAAATTGACAGCACAGTGTCAGACAATAGTTTCACTCAACTTTTTCTGTTGAAAAGTTCAAATCTGTAGAAAAAGGTGCAATGAGCATGCATTGATTTCATTGGGATGTATCAGTTGGTAGCATTTTGCATTCATGCTATCCTATATGTGATTACATATTATATGTGTGTTATAGAGAGATACATATTACCTATGTGTGTATATTTTATATTAAAAATGAAGTATCTCTTGACTTCCAGACATGATGGGATATGCCTGAGAGGCCAAGGCAAGGAAGCTTATAAGTGTGAGGGCCAACCTGGGCTAATGGTGAAACTCTGTCTAAACAACAACAAAAGATTCATCTGTAAATAAACATGGTATCTACTGATACTTTGCTTCATAGAAAACTGTCTTATTTGGTTCTGTATGCCATAGCAAATTTCTAGAGATTTAGTGGCATATATATATATATATATATATATATATATATATATATATATATATAATAAAAAGTTATTTTTTTACAGTCGAAGGATTAGAACTCAAGTCGGGTCCCAACAAAGTGAGGTAAGTCTGTTGAGGGCCTGCTCTGGGTTACAGACAGCTGCCTTTTTTGGTAGTTTCATGAGATGCCCAGGGGTCCCTTTGATAGGGGTACTAATCCTTCATTACCTTTATGGCCCAATCAGCTGCCTGAGGTCTCACCTGCTATTGTCATCTTTTAGGGTTAAGTTTTCAACAAATGGATTTGAGGAGAGAATACAAAACTTTATTCAAGAATAGTTTGGCATGATTTTTAAACACCTTGATAAAACATTGATATCTAATGTGGGTAATTTTTTTTGAACATCTCCTTAGTTCTGCCTTAGAAGAGGTCTCTAATAAACACAATATACACTTACATGTGCACATACACATAGACCCTTGGTTTCCAAGATTATCTTTATTTGAATGTATAGAAGTATCTGTTATAATTACCAAATAATTGCCACTATTCATGTAACATATAACTTTGTTGAGGGTTTCTAAACTAGACAAACATGCAGGGTAGTTAAGTGTCCTGCTAGGTAGCTGAGGACCAGTATGTCTGCCATTGTACTGTGAGTTGTGCTTTGCTGGAAAACACCAGGGATAGCTCTTTCCACCATAAAAGTATGCTTTTTTTTTTTTTATATGTGAGAAATATATTTTAAATTGTTTGAAGTATGGTGATCTAAATTTGTGTTATGTGTTTATTAAGTTATTTACAAATGACTTAAGTGTTTCTAAGAAAATATCAACCAAATTAATATGTTGAATTAAAGATAGAAATAAAATTTTAAAACTTCTCAGGGGGGGTGGGTATTTCTCCTTTCTTAGTCTCATGGAGTTAATGAAGGTGCTAATAGGTGGGAGAAGCTGCTGTGGCTTCATAGACACCAACTACTCAGTTTTTTTGTACTTAAAACTGGATGGGCCAGTACTATAACATGGAACATGCCATCCAGACTTACAAATTATAAAATTATTAGGTCTTCTAAATCATAGGGTAAAGGTGTTATCGTTTACTAAGAACACAGGACTTTGAAGTTTTTAGTTATAGTTAAATAAGATACTATGCATGTAGAATTTCATTTACTAAGTTTGAAAGGACTGAAACATGTGTGTCTATACTTTTGCATCTGTTTGAATTTATGTTCTGTAAGATACCCGAACAGTTTAAAAGAGGAAGAATTCATTTTGGCCCCCAGCATCAGAGAGTCCATTGTTGGCTGGCTCTGCCATCTGGGGACTGTGCTGAGGCAGGGTAGAAGGGCTGGAGAAGCAAAGCAACTCACCTCCTGACAGCCAGGAACACAGGAAACCAGATTCAGAAGATGTAGACCCTAGGCAGACATCCAGGGATGAATGTCCTCCAAACAGGCCCTGCCTCTGAAAGTTTCCATCACTGCCCAATAATATCATCAAATTTGGAATCCAAGAGTGAGTTAATCGACTGATGAAGTCAGAGTTCTCACAGCTCAGCCCTCTCTCAAGGCTGGAGTGCAGCTGTGGACCGGTCCTTCAGCACATGAGCCTTCTAGGGCATACTTCATTTCCAAATGGCAGTACTGTGGTGTGCTGTGAAATAAATACACTTTGAATATGCAAACTTCTTGTTCATAATCCACAAAACTGCCACTCTTAAACCTGCCACACCCCAAACCTGAGGAAACAGTATTTAATAGAAGATGACATGATCTTGAGTAAAAACAAGTTGCTCATAGTATTGCTCTGCTTGGAGTTGTGCTGTAACTTGGTAGATTTTAACATCAACCATTTATCTTCAAGGAGGAATATCACAAGCGTAACTTCACTGAAGTGATCTCTCCTAACATGTACAACAGTAAACTCTGGGAAACCTCGGGCCACTGGCAGCATTACAGTAGCAACATGTTCACCTTTGATATTGAAAAGGACACTTTTGCCCTCAAACCCATGAACTGTCCAGGGCACTGGTGAGTACCGGACACGAAGGGGAGCCTGCATGTGCACATAGCACCTCATCAGAGTTAGCTTTACATATTGTTGCTTTGCATTTTTAAGTGATTTCCTGTAATGGGAAGAGTGGAGGCAGTTGATCATCTTACCTCATCATTTCATTCTAGAGAATGAAACTTCTGTTTAAAATGTGCCTGGTCTTTGGCAGGCAAGGAATGTTAGCTGGGAACTCTCATTTTCTACATTTCTCAGAGAGTAATAGTTTGCATTGATTTTATAGATCATTGTATTTGTCTTCCTAATTATAATATACTTCAAATATGCATGTTCATCAGTTATTTAATTCACATACTATTTGGGTGATTGCAATAAGATCCACAAAGTCCTGATCAGTGGATGATTCTGCGGGTGGGCGGGGGGTGGGGTGGAGGGAGGTGGGTGGTGGATGTGGAGAGGCAGCATTTCAGGAAGCGGATAGCATAGACAGGATTCTTTCTCAGTGCTGTGGTGATGGCAGCTCACAGTTGGTCTTCCTAGAAGAGGGCTAGAGCTATCAGTCACTTTTATGGCACATTGTTAGTATGTGAGGCATAGGGTTCAATCTCAGGGCCCAAACAATAAATAAAAAATAATAATAGGAGAAAAAAGAATTGCCTGTTGATTGAAGACCCAGCACAAGGCATTTGTACATCTTGAGATTTAGTTTCAGAGTGTTAGATGTTCACTTTTCTCTCCATCATGTAAAGTATGTTCAATCTCGTATTTTTTCTAGTTTAATGTTTGCCCATCGCCCACGATCCTGGAGGGAAATGCCCGTTCGATTTGCTGATTTTGGAGTTCTTCACAGAAATGAACTGTCAGGAACTTTAAGTGGCTTAACCAGAGTTAGGCGCTTCCAGCAGGATGATGCTCACATCTTCTGCATGGTGGAGCAGGTAAGCAACGATATTGGGGAGGACTGGCTCTGCAGACCTACAGCTCAGTGTCTTCTAGCTGCTGTGCAGTATGAGGTGTGCCCTTGCCTCTGCACATTCACAAAGAGAAACCTTTCCTGGTCCTCTGGTTTAGAGTTAAGAGGCCAATCATTTCCTGGCATTGTGTTTATTGTTTTCCTCACTTACTTTATTAACTCAAGTTCCACAAGTGGGATATTTTAAGGGGAATTGGGGTATTGTTTTCAGTGTATTGCCTGGAACTTAGTTTTACCTTTTCAAATTAAAATTGCCATGCAAGGGTCTCCATCAAACACTGCTAGACAGTTTGATCTGGCATAGAACAACAGCATGTGGATAGTTTGCCAAGAGATGCTGCACTATATGACATGTCTCAGGAAACTTAAAGGATTCGATAAATATAATGTTTCCTGACCATTGAAATCACTGTAAAAAACAATATTAGAAATCTGTTTGGAAACTAAACAACACTCTTTTAAATGACCCATAGATCAAAGGAAAAATACAAACTAAAATGAGAAAATATGATCTATGCAATAAAAATAAAAACACATCATAAATTATGGGATGTCATTAAAATGATGTCCATAGGTACATTTTTATCACCCCAGCTTCTACTTAAACCAAGAAAAGACAAAGAGCCAGTAATATCCAGTGTAAGACAAAGAAAGAAAATAAAGTAATAATAAGTGTGCTGTCTAGTTTTTATGGCAACTTGATGCAAACCAAGCTTAGTTTGGATGAAGGAACCTCAATTGAAGAAATACCACCACCAGATTGCTTGTTGACAAGCTCATGGTGAATTTTCTTAATTGATGTTTGATATGGTAGGGCCCAGCTCACTGGGGCAATGCCACTCCTGGGATGATGGTTCTGAATTCTATAAGAAATTGAGCATGCCATGAGGAGAAAGCCAGTAAGCAGAACCCCTCCATGTCCTCTACTTTAGTTCCTGCCATGGCTTCTCTCAGTTATGGACTGTGATATGGAAGTGTAAGCAAAAGAAACCCTTTCCTCCCCAAGTTTATTTTGGTCATGATGTCTCATCACAGCAATTGAAACCTTATCTAAGACAATGGGCAAACAAGAGACTTATTTGGTTCTTAAATTCCCCCTCAAGTTTGTTACTGAAGGCATGGCCCCTAGCTGGTGGTGCTCCTGGGAGGTAGTGGAAACCTTAGAAAGTGAGCCTTATCAGAAGAAGTCATGGGAGTACCATGAAAGGATCTTGAGTCTCAGCCCTGTCCAAGGGTCATGAGGTGAAGCAGCCTTGCCCTACTTCAGGCTCCTTGCCAGGATGCAAGTACCAGAAACAACAGAGTCAACTGAAAACAGAAAAATAAGAGAGGACACCAACAAAACCCAAAAAGCGGGTTCTCTGACAGGATCAACAAAATTCCTAAGCTTAAGAAAAATGTTAGAAATAGGGTGTCATTGGTAGAGACTCCTCAGATACTCAGGGGGTAAGGCATATGTTTTTATCATTGCAAAAAGACTTTTTTAGACCAACAAATAAATAGACTAAGTTTAAATATTTGATTAGAAAGCCGCCAAAGTCACATGCTTCAGACATGTTTATGAATAACATTATGTTAATAAATTTGGCAACTTGGATAAAGTAGACAGATGTTTAAAAACTGCAAACTAAAAGCCTTTACTCAAGTAGAATTCAATGAGTAGCCTTGTGGCCATCACAGAAATTGAATTGACAATGCATGTTGGTTTCACTGACTCTAAACACTGAAGAAAATTCTAGACTGAATGTTAAAGAAAACTGAAGCAGAAGAAGTCATTATCAACTCATCCTAGGAGGATTCCAGTGCTCTGAAACAAAACATGACAAAGATATTTCTAGAAAAGACTGATCTGAATGTGATACACAAAGGGCACTGTGTCTTAACCAAGAGGAGTCTATCCCAGAAATGGAAGATGTATAATGTTAGATACTGGTTTAATATTACAAAATGAAGCATTGCAATTTACAGTATTCTCCAACTGAAAGAAAAGAAAATGTATCTTGAAGCTGAAGAGATTGCTCAGTGATCAAGAACACATGCAATTATTGTTCATGCTGAGAGCCCCAAGTTTGGTCCCCAGTATCTACATGATGTACAGACATTCATGCAGGCAAAACACTCATACACATAAAAACAATTTTAAAAAAAGAAGAAGGAACATCTCAATAATTATCCTATCAGTGGATGCTGGAAAAGCATCAGACAAAATCCAACATTTGTTTCCCACTGAAAACTCTTAAGAAAGAAGGAAGAGGAGATAACTTCCTCAACCTAATGACAGATACCTCTGAAAAACCTAAGTAGAAGCAAAATAAGATATCACCTCTCATTGGTTCCATTACTAATTATTGTCCCGGGGGAATTTTTGTTCCAGGGAATCTCTTAATGAAAGAGAGATATATAAACAAATAAGCAAGAGAGAAATAAACAAGCATCCAGGTTAGAAAGAAAATGGAAATGTTTTACTTGTAGATTGTTTGGCCATGTTGAGGCCATGTACTTTCTGCTCTGGAGTCAGAGCTACCCAGCTGTTGAGCAGCAAGAATGAGCCCTTTCACCCTTGGGAGTCTTGAAGAAAAATTCCACTCCCACCTGGGAGTAACCAGTCTGGAACAGTATTAGTAAGAAAAACCAAAACAATTTTCTGATCCAGAATCTCATCCTAAATGCCCAGGACTCAGAAACTAAAAACACTCATTGTGCCAATAATCAGGAGCACCTCACCTTGAGTGAGAAAGGACAGCCAACCCTTGAACAGCAGCACTATTCAGCACTGTTACCTCTCTTGCATCACAGGATTCCTTGGGATAATAATTACTATTAGAACCAATGAGAGGTGACATCTTTATCTTGCTCCTACTTAGGTTTTTCAGAAGTGCCTGCCATTAGGTCGAAGAAGTTCTCTTCCTTCTTTCTTAAGAGATGACTGCCATGTTGACATTATCGGATGAAGGTTTTCAAGATTTGTTCGTGTGTGTGTGTGTGTGTGTGTGTGTGTGTGTGTGTGTGTGTGTGTGTGTGTTATATTCAGACACCCACAGAGGCCAATAGAGGGCATCAAAATCCCTGCTTGAGTCACAGGCTTCCTAATGTGGGTGTTGGGGAATCTGACTTGAGCTATCTCTCCAGCTCTATGACAAAGATATTAAAGCAGCCATCATAATGTTTTTTGGAGACAGTTACAAAACCATTTCAAACCAATAAGAACCATTCCAAGACTCAGAAACGGGAAAATTCCAAGGAAGAAATAAAGATCACAGTGAAGAACTAAGTAGAAATTTAATGGAATGTGTAATTAAAAGCCCAAATAAAAACTCAGTAATTGGATCCATGAGCAGAACATAGGAGACAGGAAAATCTATAGATATAAAAATAGAATCTGAAAGGCAGGAAATGAAACTGGGGAAGGGACTGGCCACACATGACTTCCACCTGACCTCCATGTCCTCACCCTCTGCAGGGACATGGGAGGGGATGATGATGACTGAGAACTTTTAAAATCCATTAAAAGACCAAACCTCCAGAGTCAGGAAGTCAAGTGCTCCGAACAGAACACACCCAGAAAAATCTATACTAAAATGTGAGTTAAATGTGAAAACAAAAAAAAAGAAGAGGAAGAGGAAGAAGAAGAAGAAAAATAATAATAATAAGAAGGAGGAGGAGGAGGAGAAGAAGGAGAAGAAGAAGGGCAGAGCAAAGGAAATGAAGAGTTAGAAGAGAAAAACATCCCAATTTGAATGATAGCTTTTCACATGGTGGTCAGCAGTGGATCCGCCTTTTTCAAGGACTAAAAGAACTGTTGTCCTAGAATTCCCAGTCTAGAGAAAATATCCTTCAGGAGTGATGGAGAGGTAAAGATACCAGCCATGCCACAGAAGGATGGCTATGAGTAGAGAGTGAGGCAGAGGATCGGAACATGAGGGACTTTAAAATTGTGAAAGTAAAAATAGGTAAACATTCTGTTTTCCTTCTGAGTTTTCTAAGTTATGCCCAGTGGTTGAAGCAAAAAAATATATCCTTGCCTGATATGGTCCTGAATAAACAGAGAGGAAATGCTTAAGCAAATGATGCTATTAAATGGAGGAGGGTAAAAGGAAGTGGAGTTTCTACATTCATTTGAACTTGTAACTCATGACACCTGTAGGTTACAATGCTATACAGAACCCAGAGAAAACTAAAATCATATATGCAGAGATACACTAAGATGCCCGTGTATAGGTCTCAAAAGAAATTTTAGTCAGTGTTAGCAATGGAAGGTGCCATCTGCATGGTGTTAAAGCCAAGCTTTGTGGGGTTGGAGGGATGCCTTGTTGGTGAACACTGCTGCTCTTGCAGAGGACCCGGACTCAGTCCCCAGCATCTACATCAGAGCTTACAACCATCTATAATTCCTTTTCTAAGGGATCTGATACCTGCTTCTGGCCTCTGCAGGCACAGGCATACATGTGGGGCACATACATACAGGCAAACATACTCACATAAAAATTCTTAAAAGCTTTTTTAAAAATCAGTTTTAGTGACTATTTGACACAAATAATTTGTTGTTTAAAATGCCATGAGTGAATTTTAAGTTGGTGTTCCATTTGAGTGTTTCAACTGCTTTAATTTCAGATTGAAGAAGAAATAAAGGGGTGCTTGCACTTTTTGCAGTCTGTTTACTCAACGTTTGGCTTCTCCTTTCAATTAAACCTGTCAACACGGCCTGAGCACTTCCTAGGAGAGACTGAGATGTGGGATGAGGCTGAAAGGGTAAGCACTGTGACAAATGTCACACGCCTGAGAAACTGCCCTTCCCTGGGGTTGTAAACTGAGGAGTCGGGGAGTGAGTATGCACACTGTGGAGTATGGCTGGCCAGTTCTCACCACCTCAGCAACCATCTGTTTTACACTCTGAAGCTGATGTGAGATTTCATTAATTGTCTTCAGTGCTGGTCCACCTTCTCTAGAACACTCACAGACAGGAGTGAGAAGAATGGGGGCCACTGTATGGAGAGTGTAACAGTTACGTTCACTTAGGGAGTAGATGGGGGCTGGGCAGAGGTGCAGACTCGGGCTTGAGCTGTGATAGGGTCTCCTCCTCACACACACCCCTGCCCTGTGCCCAAACTATACTCTTCTTCCCTGCCTACTGAATGGAGGACCAAAGTCCATTGAGACCTCCCCTAGGAAGGATGCTGACTCCAAAAGCTCTGTGGGGAACTACATCTCACTGAGGATCAGGACTGAAAAGAGATGTAATGGTGGTGGCTGTGCCAGGGTGACAACACCTACTGCATGAGGCTGTGCTCAGGAACGTAAATGAATTCATGTGTAGGAGCTAATAATGGGCCTAGTGCCGGGCAGATGTGCAGTTGGTCTGTGTGTCGTCATCACCATCAGTCTCACTCAAACCATTTAGAATGGATGGGCATGGCATGGGGATAATGGGCAAGAAGTCTTGACATTTTTGCTTTTTGATTGATGTGGCTAAAGTTTCGCAGACAAGCCTGACGTCTCCCAGGAATATGGCATTACAGGGTAGACCTTCCTCTCTTATGGTGGCTTTCTTCCACAGTGGTCACCTTTGATCATCTGGGAGTTAGGGAGATGAATGTTTAAGGGGTTTTATTTTATTGTTTCTGCACTGTTGTCCTCGTCGCTTTCTTCCCAAGTCACTGTGATGGCTTGGAAACAATCAAAGCTTTCTTAGCCCTCTGTAGTCAGCTCTGCTCCCATTGCACTCCCTCACCCTGTCCACAGAGGCCTGATAACAATTTGGTGACCCCTGCTTTATAGTCTTCTCCAAACCTTGGCCTATCTTTGGATTTTTAATACGTTGGGAGCTCCAAGACCCTCCAATTGCTGTCATGGGACATCAGTTTCTCTGTCTAGTAGACATTCTCCTTCAGAAACAGTACAGTTGAGGAGGAGACCCCTCACCCCACAAGCCTGGAAAGCACTTCTATGCAGGTGTATTTTCTTGGTCCTAAGAGAGGGGGTGGCTGCTCCTATAGAGCTAAGCCCACTAGGGATGTTGGTGGCTTCTCAGGAATAAAATTCTCTCTGTTAAGAACACACCCTGACTGGGACCCTGGAAAAGCCCACCAAGACCCCAGGAATCAGTTTTGTGGTAATTCCAGCTGCAATGCAGAAGTACCACCTCCCAAAAGACCCCCTGCCTACCAAGTGTCAAACCTTTCTTTGGCCACAGTGTATGGGGTTGTGACAGAAACCTGGGTGGAGTTTCACATATTGTATCTTGTGCTCTCCAGGGAAGCTGGCCCAGGGTTTCTTCTATTAGTATTCACCTGGACATTCACTCACTATAAGTAAGTGCCAAGCATCTTCACCATAAAGCCTGAGCTGGCTAAAGCTGAACATGAAAGTGAGGTTCCATCTCTATACCAGTAAGACATAAGGGTTGCCCCCCCAACTGAAGCCAAGTCAAAGAAATACAAAGAGAAGTAGTGCAGTTCTGTCTTTGTCTTCCCTCCCACCACACACAGTGAGAAAGGGAATCAGGACCAAGGCTGTCAGCCATCATCATGTGTGGAAGCCCCACCTACAAAGAGATATAGTTGTCAGACACATCACCAGGGGACACATTGTTCTGCTTTGTTTTTGCCAGCTTGTCACAAACCTAGACATATCTGGGAAGGGAAAATCTCAATTGAGGATTACCTCCATCAGATTGGCCTGCAGGCATGTCTCATGTCTGTGGGACATTTTCTTGATTGCTGATTGATGTGGGAGGGGCCCAGTTCACTGAAAGTGCTGTCCTTGGGCAGGAGGCCCTGAAAGGTACAAGAATAAATAAATAAATAAACAAACAAACAAATAAATAAAGCCAAATATGAGCGTGTTCCCTTGTGGTCCCTTCTTCAGTCCTGCCCCTTGGCTCCTGCCCTGACTTTGCTCTGTGATGACTGTGACCTGGGCCTTGTAAGATGAAATAAACTGTCCTTTCTCAAGTTAGTTTTGGTCATGGTCTTATCACAGCAACAGAGAAGCAAACCAGGAGACACCTGCTGTCAGTGTGTAAGACAAAGAGGGCCTTCACTGGAAGGAAGGCCTTTTCTAGAATCCCTTAGAACAATTTAGGAAACAGTGCATTTCCCCCAGTTGAAATGTACATACACTTCAGAGTCAGAATCATGTGATCATCCTTGCATTGTCCTCACTCAGCAGTTTATTGAAGGCAAAAGACACTTGATAAACATGCATTGAATGAAGGTAGGATGTAATTAATATGTATAGATACTGATGAGCTATATGGGCAAAAGGATGAGTATGTAATAAAGAAGACATTTTTAATGATCTTTTTTTTTTTTTAAACAAAAAGCAACTGCAGAATAGCTTGATGGAATTTGGAAAACCATGGAAAATGAGCCCAGGAGATGGAGCATTCTATGGCCCTAAAGTAAGTAGAGCATATACCTGAGAAACAAGAAAAGAAAAAGAAAGAGAAGGTTAGAAAAAATATATAAAGACTGTCTCTAAGCAAATATTGCTTAATTTACAGATTGACATAAAAATTAAAGATGCTATTGGCAGATACCATCAGTGTGCTACAATTCAGCTGGACTTCCAACTGCCTATTAGGTTTAACCTCACATATGTTAGGTGAGTGATTCTAATATCTTCATTATTTGTCCTAAGATCATGGGCAATACAAACATAAGCACCATTGAGTTCTAGTGTCTAGGTTGTGTACTAACACTTGTGGACTTATATATAATCTGGGGATTGTCCTCATGCAATTATACAGCTAGGTCAAAATTCTTAAGACTGGCTACTTTATAAAGCAACTTAATTTATTTGACTAAAATTCTGGCAGCACTAAAGTCCAAACAGCATGACAATGGCATCTGGCTCTCATGTCTAAAAATTCCTCAGTTCAAAAGGACAGAACTCAGAGTTAATAACTCTGGAGTGGAGTGTCCTGTCTGCCTTCCTACAAGTCAGTAGTCACCTGCTTGGGGGAAAAAAAAAAAAAAAACAAGACAAAAGGATTTCAGAAGCAGTGACACAGTGCAGAGTGACAAGGAGTGAACCTAAGAAATAGAGGGTGTGATATTTGTATGGTGTGTGCATCAGGAGATTGTATCAAAGGCAAAACAGTAACTTAAGCGAAGGTTCAATCCACATTCTTGGAATGGGAAGAATCAATATGGGAATCATTGGTTCTTGTCTAATTTACATAGGAAGTCTAATCCTCTGGAATTGTTTGTAGGGCCTGGGCATTCATTCTGAGATTTGTTGGATAATAGAAGTATGTACGAGTAGCTTTTGGTCAATAGTTGAATGAAATGACGATGAAACAGAAAATGTTGGACGCACAGAGGCTATCCTACCTTCATTTCCCACACGAAACAGCAAAGAACATTTAGGAATATTCCATATTGTTCCACCTGTGGAGCAGGTGACATCTGCATAGGTCCATGTAGGAACAAGATCATGATGCTCTTGAGTACCTTCCCCCATCCCCTCCCTGCCAAGCTCCCTGGGATCTACCAGACTTCTGCCAGAATCTGCAGTGACCATCAGCGGCAGTGTTCAGCATCCAGTTTTAACACACGTGCATTAGGTTTGTTTTGTTTGTCTCGGGTGAGACTGTCTTCCATGTCATGGGTTACATGTGCTGAGTAACCAAGCTTTACCGTCTGAGAGTGTACACAGGTCTTGGTGCGTCTTGCTTCATTGAAGTTGGCAGTTACAGTTGGCTTCATCGTTTTCTCCTATAGAGAAATGATGAACTGTAAATTATGTGTCTTGGCAGTGTGTGGTCTGAGAGGTAAATTTTACTGGTAGACTCTAAAATGAATGTCAGAAGTATTTTGGAAAAATAAAGCTTACAATGGAGCAGTGGATGAGGCAAGAATTGGATTAAATAAGACTAGCTGTGAGTGGACATTTGTGAAGCTCAGAAAGGGTTCGTGGAGTTCACTATACCCTTCAGCTTTTGTGTATTAAAGTGTTCTCTGATAAAGTGATTTACAAATAAATGATTAGTGAGAAAGGCAAAGTCTCAGGAAAGCTGCCAATAAAAACAATTTCCTGATGAAGATACCAAAAAGAAATTAATAATAATAACAAGCAACACTGAATATAGGGCAAGGGGTAAACCTATAGCCAGTCTTAAGGAAATACCTAACATGAGTTTCCATGTTTTCAGTAAAGATGGGGATGACAAGAGCAGGCCCGTGATCATTCACCGTGCCATTCTGGGATCCGTGGAAAGGATGCTAGCCATTCTCTCAGAGAACTACAGCGGGAAGTGGTAAGTGACGTGCAAGCAAGGCTGAGTGACTCCTTCAAAGTTAAGTCTGAGCAGATTAAATTTCTGCCTCATAGTTAGCAAGTGTCCATGCAGCAAATGGAGAATTCTTGTTCCATTTGCCGGGTTGGGAAACAGGAATACAGGCAGAGTGGCATCAAACTGTAACTCTATGTTGAAGAGTTACCTTTTCACCTTTTTCCAGCCCACCAGAGTTTCAGCTGTTGTCTGGAAAACATGTCCTCTCCTATGGTTTCATGCCTTATCACTGCCTTCCCTTTCAACTTTGATTGTTACCCTGGGGAATCCCTGTGGCTTGTGACCACAGAGGACAACACATGCATCTGACTCACGTATGACACACACAGTATCCAGCACCAGCGTAGAGAAGCTGCCCCAGCAGTACAGGCCCAGTAAGGAAAGGCAATATTGTGTGCTGCAGCTTGGGGTCGAAGGAAGACTGGCCACAGGTGTGGTGAGTGATCGCAAGGCCAAATATGGAGAAGTAATCAGAATGAAAAAAATAGATGACAGGATTGGGAAAAAGGGATAATGGTCATATCATCCATGGGACTTCTGCTGGATGGTCTTGTGTCAACTTGACATGTCATCTGAGAGGAGGGAACCTCAATTGAGAAAATGCCTCTCTATGGGATCTGGTTGTAAGATCGTTTTTTTTTTTAATTATTTATTTTTTACATTCCAATCCCAGTTTCCCCTCCCTCCTTTCCTCCCACTCCCCCTCATCTGCTCCATGGAGAGGATAAAGCCTCTCCTAGGAAGTCTACTAAGTCTGTACCATCATCTCTCTGAGGCAAGGACCAAGGCACCTCTCCACCCCCATACCCCAGTGTCTAGGCTAAGCAAGGTATCTCTCCATATAGAATGGACTCCACTAAGTTAGTTTGTGCATTAGTGTTAAATCTTGGACCCACTGCCAGTGATCTCAAATATTGTCCCAGACACACCATTGTCACCTATATTAAGGGAGTCTAGTTCAGTCTTATGCAGGATCCCCATTTGTCAGACCTGAGCCAGTGATCTCTCACTAGCTTGGGTCAACTGTTTCTGTGGGTTTGCCCATCATGGTCTTGACTCCTTTGTTCATATTATCACTCCTCCCTTGCTTCGATTGTACTCCAGGAGTTTGTGGATTTTTGCAGTAAGATGTTTTTGTAAGTAGTGATTGGTGGGGGAGAGCCCAGCCCATTGAGGGTGGTCCTATCCCTGGGCTGGTGGTCCTGGGTTCTATAAGAAAGCAGGCTGAGCAGGCATGGGGAGCAAGACAGTAAGCAGCACCCCTCCATGGCCTCCGCATCAGTTCCTGCTTCCAGATTCCTGCCCTGCTTGAGTTCCTGTCCTGGCTTCCTTTGGTGATGGACAATAGTGTGGAAGTGTATGCAGTATAAACCCTTTATCCCAAGTTGCTTTAGTCACAGTTTTTTATCATAGCAATAGAAACTAAGACAGCTATTATGGTGGCATTACCCAGCAAAAGGCCCTCACTGTTGAGTTTTTTGAATATTCAAGAGAACTCAATCAGTGGTTCACAAACTGGGGCCAACAGGGGCTATTCATGGACTCCACCACATGAATGTGATCTCATTTGGTTCCACATTGCTAAAACTTTTCTGAGAACTCAATTCTCATCAGTAAAGACCAGTCCTTATCCATGGGAACAGCCAGCTAGTTTGGGGCAGTTGACTGTTTTAGGTCTCTTTCATTATTCAAGACAGATGCCAGAAGCTAGTGATTTCCTTAGAAAAGATGGAAACCCTGGATGTTGTTTTGTTCTGCTCTGCCAGCAGTACCATGTAGCACTTTCTTAGCAGAGAAGTGAGGAGGTGAGCCATCATCACTGGACTCACCAACAGCATGGTAACAGCTGGTACTAAGGTAACACACCCTAGGATACTGATGCTGCAAGCCAACAGCCACCAGTGGAACAATAGCTCCTGTCTGCTAATAGAGCTTAGTTCTGTCTCCAGAGCTATTGTCCCTACAAAAAATCCTTGCAGCTCCCATAGTAGACTTTGGGTACCACTGCCAGGGCCACTTCCTCATTTTCCTTTGAAAGTTCTGTGTAATGGAATCAGTCTTGCCAGGTGATGCTGCCTTCTTGGTGACACTGTCCCGCAGCAGCATGCTGTGCTCATCTGTCTGAGCAGTGAAAGTAAGGTGGGAAATTTCTGAATTGAGCATCTTGCAAAGACCCTGCATTGCTAGCAAGTCTGTGTGTGTCCCAAATAACTCACCTAGAGCCATGCACTGTGGTCTCACAGAGTTTCGATCTACAGAGGCCAAAAATGCATGCTGCTGTGTATGAGTTAGCATGTTTATATCTCTGAACAGTTGGCTCTGGTTTAAATAGGTAGAAGTAGGTGAGGTGAAATGGGTAGAAATAGGTGTCTTGTGCTGGGATGGAGTAGGGGAAGTGGGCCAAAACCTAAGGGAAACTGGTGGGATGGGGACATGCAGAAGGGGGCAAAAGGTGATCCTGTGTGGAGGGACCAGTCTCTCTTCAGGGACTCGGCCATTCTCCCTGCCAGACTTTTGATGAAAATGTCTCCAAAATTGAGGGTCCCTGGGGGAAACAGCATGTGGGTAGGATGAGACCAGAGTATAGACAGAAACATTTACTTTTAGCTTTATACACGGTGCTTATGAGTTTTGCCATTGTTTGATTATGTTTGTTTTATGTGTTATTTTATTTCTGTCATTTAAGAAAAAGTATGTGAATATGGACATTCATAAGGTAGCAGCTGGGAATAGTCCCATTGTACTCCATTCCACCTTTAACTAAGTTCTCACCACAATGAAGGAAAAGGTCAATGTGTCTCACATCAAACATTGCCCTCTATATTCATTAAAAGCAGCATTGTATTTGACACAATCCTAGGTTCACATGTAGTTGTGAGAAGTAATACAGAGAGCTGTATAATTTGCCCACTTTCCCTCAGTGATAACATGTTGTAGAATTACATAGATGTTGCCATTTCACATGTGCTCAATTCTATGCACGGGTGTGTTTAGTTCCATATGTATCACTGGAAACATGAAGTGATCACCACCAGTCGTAGTACTGAAAAATGCCATCATTTGTAACAACTGCTCATGCCACACATGCACAATCCCTCTGCTATCTACCAATCCCGCAACCGCACACCTATTTTTTTTTCTCCATGATTTTGTCACTTCAAGAATGTCACATAAATGAGTCACATAGAATTCCCTTGAACGCCATCTTTATTCTATCAGTTCACTGTGATTGCTCTTGGTGTTCCAAAGTGTGATTGACCATTTTGGACTGTTCACCCACTGAAGCACAATTGGGTGTTTTCCGTCTGGAGCTGCTCTAAGTAAAGCCACTGTGGATAGCAGTGTGGAGGTGCTGTGTAGACACAAGACTTCTGGAATAGATGCCCAGGAGTGCAATAATGTGTCCTCTCTCTTTTCCTCTCAGATTCCAGGCCTCCTTTTCTGTCTGCTCTGATGCTTCCAACATAAAGTTCCATTTGCTTCTGTGCCATTGTACCAATACCACTGTCTTGTAAAACTTGCCCCGAGAAAGCGTTGCTACTTTTAATCACACAAGTGCTCATTTGAAATGACTCTGAACATACATATTTTACATATTTTCCAGGCCTCTCTGGCTGTCTCCTCGACAGGTAATGGTCATCCCTGTGGGTCCAACTTGTGAAAATTATGCACTTCAGGTAAAATAACAGACATTTGAAGTATACAATAACTTGCCATGTATTTTGTGTCGGATACCATGCATGTATTTTGTGTAGCATACCATGCATGCTTTAAGATAATGCCCAATGGTGGTGGTGCATGCCACACCTTTAATCCCAGCACTTGAGAGGCAGAGGCAGCCAGATCTCTGTGAGTTGGAGGCCAGCCTGGTCTACAGCATGAGTTCTAGGACTGTAGTTCCTTATAAGCATGTTGACAACCTGTGCTTTCAGTCAATGGGAGCAATACGTGAATTGTGTCTGTGGGGCTGCATCAGAACTGCTTCCTTAATGTTTTGGAGAAATGAGTGTTTTTGAGCACTTCACACTTACTCTTTCCCATGTATCTTTACTGGGGTAGAATATCTTATTATCTGCAGCTTATAACATCTGATATTTATTGTCTTACTTTCAGGGGAAGAGGTTAGGAGTCTGGAAGCAGCTTAGCTTGTTGATTTCTATTTTTAAATTTTTTAAAATTTTTGTTTATTTATATATTTGGGATTTTTTTTTTTTTTAAAGACAGGACCTGTCTTCAAATGACTGTAGCCCTGGCTGTCCTGGAACATAAATAAGGCTGCCTCCTGAATGTGGGATTAAAGGTGTGCATCATTATACCTGGCTCATTTATCTTCTCTGTATGAGTGCTTTCCTGCCTGTCTGTCTGTGCCTGGTGCCTGAAGAGTTTAGAAGAGGGTACCAGATCCCCCGGAACTATGAGGGTGGAGTGTTGAGCCATTATGAGTGTGCTGGGAACCAAAACTGGGTCCTCTGCAAGAGCAATACTTGATCTTAACTGCTGAGCCATCTTTTTTAGCCCCCTAGCTGGTTGGTTCTAGCATGGCCTCTTGTAAGCATGCAGCTAAGGACATGAGTACCATGCCCATGTGTGAGCTTCTTCTCAGGCTGTTGGAATGCCCTCCAGAGCAAGGGAGGCTTTGACAACCTAGATTTAATAGTAATACACCCTCCCTTCCGTGTCTTTCTGTGACTCACACAGACCAAGTCTGAATGAAGTGCCAATCACTACACAGGGTGTTAGTACAAGGAGCTGGGAAACCAGGCTTCTGTGGAGCCTGGCTACCATCAATGACATAATGTCAGGCATATCCCTCTGTCTTCTAGGTGTCCAAGGAATGTTTTCAAGAAGGCTTTATGGCTGATGTGGACTTAGATGAGAGCTGTACACTAAATAAGAAGATACGGCATGCACAGCTATTGCAGTATAATTTTATTTTGGGTAATTTAATCTCATACACTTCTTCAATTGCTTGGCTTGGGAATTAAAGAAAATAAAAAGGAGGAAGATGGAGTAACTACTTATTACAAGTCAAGTCGACTGTTGAGTTGTAGCACACGAGGAGTCCGTGCTGCAGCATCACTAGCAGCAGCTAACATTTAAGCCCAAATGGAGACAGACACCAAGATCATTTCTTGGAATTGCACACTTCTGCCCCACCCTGATGCAAGGCCCAGATGCTCCTCTTCGATTTTCTGGTTTATTAGAAATTGGGTCATTAAACTATGTGTAGAAAAGATTCTAAATTTTAAATGATTCAAAGAAAGATGAATAAGTAACATTCTCAGAGATATATAATTGGGTACAAAGTCTAAAAATGTGGCTTTTAAAAAAGAAACAAGTGAAAATTACAATAAAATCAAGAGAAACTGATATTGACATGCCTGAAGTATGGTATGGGTATGTCCTGTAAGTTAAAAGATTCTGTAGCAGAAAGAAAAAATAAAAATAAAAAAAACCCAGACTTGTTCTATCGACAGTTGTTCACTGGTAATGTTTGCCTTGTAGAAAGAATTGGATGTTTCCATCAGGTTCTCGTTGTGTTATAAATCTCATATTATTTTACTGGAAGGGTGCCAGAGTGACTGATGCCAGAAAGAAAAATCAATAGCCAAGGTATTGAAAAAGTAACCAGGAACTCAGCCCTCACTAGGACAGTGTCTCTCCATTTCTAGTTCCTGTTTTGTTCTGACCCTTTATACTTTTGAATAGCCTCTAAATCCCTCTTCACAATTTCTTCTTTCTGTGTGGAAAGGAACATGGATGCACATTCCTGCATCTTCTCACAGCATGGATTACTAGAGAGAACAGGCTTTCCCCCACATCTTAGAAAATTCTGGTTGGCTTGCCTGGATCCAGCCACATATTTCCTTGGAGTCATCAAATAGGATAGAAAGAATCAGATGGCTGTAAAAATTCCCTTCCCATTTGTGTTCCAACACCACAACAGTGTATTCCGAAATAGACAGGAAAGAGGCACAGACACCATCCCTCCCCTCAAGACACTTAACTATTGAGGGGGGAATCTAATGCTCGATAGACTGAAGTTTAGTAAGTAATATTGAGGGGCAATTCAGGCATGTGCTAAATGACTGTTAACTTCATGATTGGTAAATCATTAATATTAAACATGTTTATTTCACTTTCTTTTCTACAGTGGTTGGTGAAAAGGAAAAGGTAAATAATGCAGTAAATGTTCGAACAAGAGACAACAAAATTCATGGAGAAATTCCAATAGCTTCTGTCATTGAAAAATTGAAGAACTTAAAAAATTCACGCACTCTGAATGCTGAGGAAGACTTTTGAAGTCTGCTCCTTGTACTTCTACATTTTCTTGAGAACTTAAGATATTAGTACTTCTAAGAACCTTTGGGCCACTGATAGGCCACTAATGAGTTCATCTAAAACGAAAATGATTATTTGATATATACAGATTATTTGATATATACAGATTTCATTGTGTTCTGAGACTAAACAGGAGAAGCTGGAGAAAGTGACAACACATCAAGACTTCAGAGGGCTCACTGGTAAAATGGTGAGAATGTTATCAAACAGTATGCTGCCTTCTTCCTCCATAGTCTTGCTTCCAGCCTGGGGGCTGTCAGTTTGTGACTACAGCTCTGCCTTGCACATACGAGGCCCTGGGATCCATTCCCAGCGAATGCCACCTCTCAACAAACAACAAAAATAGACTTTAAATAAAAGCCCATGGTCTTTTTGAACATAGGTGTGTGTGTCTTCTTTTCTAATACACATGCCTCAGATATATCTATGGCTGTTTTACTAAAGGCCACTCAGAATGTTCGTGTCCAAAGTTGGAATCATTACATCACTTAGCCCGCAATGGTAAGAGAAGTACTAATATTGTGTTAGTGGCAAAGGACTATGAACCTCAAAGAAATTTTGTGTAATCTGTTATTTGCATTGTAGGTTACAAGTTGCAGTTTTAATGCTTCTAAACCACAATTCCTTATTTATTAAAAAAAAAATTTCCAAATAAAATGCACCACATGGCATTTCTAGAACCTCTGCAATGTATATGCCATGCCACATTGCTTTTCTAGGGATGAATTACTGGGGTGTTCCACTTATTTGCTGAATCAAGTGTTCAAGTGTATTTCTGACTTTTTTGTTTTTTTTTTTTTTTTTTTTTGTTTTTTGTTTTTTTTTTTTTTAATGAGACAGGATCTCAAGTATGTAGACCTGGATGGCCTGGAATTCACGGAGATTTGCCTGTCTGTGCCTGTGGGCTGTATTTCTGAAAATTTAAAATTATTTTGTGTGTATGGTTGTTTCGTCTGCCTGTATATCTGTGCACTATAGGTGCCTGCAAAGGCCAGAAGAGGTCACTAGATCCCTGGAACTGTACTTATGGATGGTTGTGAGCTAACTTGTGGGCCAGGGGTTCCCGAGATAGGTGTGATGGAAACAGTGCAGTTCGCTGAGAGCAGCTCCCCTCCTCAAGGTTGGTCGTCTCTCTCGGTGAGGCAGGGCTGGGATTCTTCCGTGGAAAATCCCACACACTAGGCTCTTACCCAAGGCCCCTGAGGCCTGACCTGCTTTTCCCAGTCTCAGAGGAACTGTAAGAACCGCGTGCCCTCCCCACAAAGTTAGACTGTGGTGAAACCTAAAGCAAAAGTCCTGGGTCCTGGCACCTGGGACCCCGGCCAGCCACCTGTCCCTCTAGGACTACATCCCTAGCTGCATGGGTCAACGTAAATAAATGGGTAACTTCATCACCGCCCTCTCCCAGGCTCCCAGTGGAAAGAGAGGTACACCTCTTCAAAGGGCATGATGTCGATTCAAGTCCGAGCCAGCTCGGGCTGCTGGCCCTCGGTGCTGGGAACCGGCGGTGCCGGTGGCGGAGCCCAGCAGCAGTGCGCCTGCGGGCCGCGCCCGGACACGCCCACTTCGTCGCGCCCCACAGCCCCGCCTCCTGGCCCGGAAGTGCGCGTGCGCACCGGCAAGATGGCGGCTGCGGCAGAGCCGCTGCTGTCTGTCCGCCGTCTGTCCCGCGTGCTGCTCTTCCTCTCCCAGTGCTACATTCTGTCCGGCGATGGTGAGTTCAAGGCCGGGGACCGCACCGGGCGAGCTAGTGGCACGAGGGCCCCAGGACCCGCGGGATGCCGACCGATGACCGGGCGCCGCAGCCCTCCGGGCCGAGGCCGCGGCGCGCTCCAGCCGGGCCGGAAAGCCCCGCGTTCCCCGGCGGCGGTAGCCCAGAACCCGAGTCCACACGGTCGTTTCCGTTTCACGAACCATGTCTGCCCTGCGCAGCCCCTACCTGTGTAGCACACAAACCAAGGGTGCCATATCCCAGGATAACGTGTTTCTCTAATTGTAGGATCCTTAAATTTAGAGCATTCGCAGCCGCTGGCTCAGTCAATAAAGGATCCGGGCCCAACACGCACATTCACAGTAGTTCCCAGGGCAGCAGGTACTAGACATTTTCTATTCTGTAAATGTGCATATTTCTATCGAGCAGGTTTTCCCTCTCTCTGTTTTCGATAAACATTTCTTTAGTGTAAGAAGTCACGTTTTTATTTCGGCTACTTGATGTTATTTAGATATGCAGATAAGGGCAGACAGACATATTCAGTAAGACCGCTTGATATTTGATTTCTTTTTGAAATCTATGATTCACCTCTTTATCCAGCCCCACACTCCTCATTTCTGTTTTATTGTTTTCTACTGCCTCCCAGTACCTTAACCACTGCTATTTTCCCTTGAATTAAAACTACAAAATGTCTATAGTGCATCCCTAATTCTGTGCAAAGGGCAGGATGAATACCTGAAGAACCCCGGTGGGGTTCTGCTATTGAGAGCTTGAGGAAATTACCCCTGTGGGGCCTTTATTTCCTCAATATTTCTGGCCACTGTAGTTAGCCTGACCTGGCCATTTCAAGTTTTGAGATTTGAACTGTCCAGCCTCAGGTCTCACAGAGATCGTAATTGGGGGGGGGGGATGTTTTATAGAGTTGACCACTTTAGGCCAGTTTTCTAAGTAGTCCTGTTTTTGCTAAATGGATGCTGGCTCTGTGGGTTCATCTCTTTGGAGTTCCATTATTTCAGGGACTTGAACTTGAAACTGGCAGAGGTATTTCACAGATTGTAATTTGGCATGCATACTAATAACAGTTATTTTCTAGAATTGGGTGTCAGTGGCCTCATTTTTCTACCAGTAAAAAGACATTGGATTGGATTTGGAGAGATGTATGTTCTGGTTCCAATTCTGCCAAACACTCCCTCTGGGATTTTGCAGACTTTTCCTTGCCCAAGCTTTAGTTTTTAACCTGTGCCTGTAGCTGTTGGGTCTTGTACTTGAACCCAGCACTTTCCCTGCATTGTCTGTCAGTGAGTCTGTCAGATTTCATAGCCACTTGGGAGGCAGGGATGACATGCCTTTTACTAATGTCACACTGGTTACCTGGTCCTAGCTAGCTGGTGACAGAACCCCTCTTAGTACATGTGTCATAGCTAATAGTTGATCTTTCCACCTTAGAGAATTGTCATTCATGGCTAATGATGTCTCTCCACTGTCTTTCACTGTTCTTCTGATCACTATCCATAGAGAATAAGCTGCTCTCCCACCTCACAGAAAGTACTGAAATCCCCCTTACATGATGAAGTGTCCAAGCAATGGTTTGTGTAGCCGCCTTCCTGCAGACTGTGTAGAGTGTGCGACCAATTTCTCCTGTACTTATGGGAAGCCTGTCACTTTTGACTGTACAGTGAAACCTTCTGTTACCTGCATTGTAAGTATTGCAGTTTTCTCATTCCAACTGCATGGAGTATAGCGTTAGTAATGTAGCTTACACTGGTTAGAACCAGGCATGTGTCAGGATATATCTGGAAATAATTTGATATTGGTCTTTTATGACCACACTGCAAAATATTTTTTAACTATTACATTTGGTTCTAGGAGTTTATCTCAGTGGTAGAACACATACTTCGTATAGCCATTCCCCCCCCAAAAAAATGGAAGTCTTGGGCTGAGAAGATAGCTCACTTGGTAAGATACTTGCTATGCAAGGACAAAGACTGGAGTTTGGACCCCCAGCACCAGTGTAAAACTCTAGTCATGGCTGTGTGCACCTATAATCCCAGCACTGGAGACGCAGACACAAGAGGACTAGCCAGACAATCTAGCAGAATCTAGGACTGGCTGATGGCTTAGTCAGTAAAGCGATTGCTGTGCAAGCCTGAGGACCTGAATTTGGAACTCAAAGTTCAGTAGAGAACTATCAGGGAAGAGACTGCATGTCAGTCTCTGTCTTCTACAAGCAGGTACACAAATGGACACACACAAGAACACATACATATGACACACACTAAAATAAACATTGCTATAAATAAAATCTTCCACCTCCTTCCATACCAAGTTATTCCTGTTTCAGTTATAATGTTAAAAACAGGCTGCTTGTTATTGGGTGGCAATGTTGCTTTGTGGGATTGGAAGGTGTTAGTGTACTAGCCTAAGTCCTTCATGAGTGTCTGCATTCTTAGTAGTGAGAACTGGGGCACAGAGGGACGGTAATGTCCTTTTACTGCAGTGAATTTGCAAAGGGTTCAGTCTTGTCAGTGGTGGGAGGCAGCATAACTCTGTGGCCAGTATTCTGTCAGGGACCTCTCACTTAGATAAAGCCATGTCCATGGCTAGGCCACAGAGAAGAGTTCTACACCAAGTCAGAGTAGAGCAAAGGTTATTGAAGTACAGATATGTGGTGTGCGCACTCTAGACTTGAGAATGGGTGTTGAAAGAGAGAGTGTGTGTTAAGAAAAGGGTACTGTGTACTCCAAGACAAAGTTGCTGTTTTCTTCAAAGTTATACTTGGTGTCTTTACAGTAGCTCTATATATGATCCTATAACTTTCAAGGTTATACTCTTTAAAGGCTGTAATTTATAGCAAGATTCAAAGAATCTGGCTTAAAATTTAAATGAAAAGTATGGCCTGGTTTATTTAGTTTTCCTAAAGCATAGCCTTTGAAATGAAATTGTACAGTGGTTCCATGGAATGTGCTGGGGATGAAGAGGAACCATGATACAGGTACAGACAAGACTCCAGACTTTCTGGCCTTGAGTGAATGCTTGGTCTTACCTTAGGGAAGGAAGCTTTGCTCCTGGACAGTTTGGGTTTTATGGGTTGGTGTGAGATTTTTAACTGTCAGCATGCAGGAAACACAAACTAGACCTCAGAGCAAGGGGCTTCATTCCCTTCCCATGTTCCCATAAACTTTTCTTCTTTCTATCCTGTCTCATTCCTAGTGGTGTAAAGATGGGTTGAGTAGATGCAAGGGATACCTGGTAGCTCTCTGGGAAAATAAGGAAGTGAACCTATCCGGTAGGTGGAAAGGTCAGGTGATTGCCTTTGTTGAGAGACACTGAGCTCTGGCC